TAGACAGTGTCCTGGGAACTGAGCATATACCCCAACCTCAATGAAATAAAGTCCCTGCCTTAATAGAGAATATAGTCTCACATGGATCACAAAGCAAACTTCTAACTGATCTCTGCCTCTGGCTTTGTTGTTGCCTTCCTCTACCCTCCTCACAGCTGCCAATCATTGGCCTACATCCAATTCTTCTATGACGAACAACTCAATTTTAAAAAAGGACAACATACAACTGTATTAACTCCCCTTAAAAAAATAAAATAAAAAAATAAAAAAGGACAACAGATTCAAACGGATATTTCACAAAAGATATCCAAATGGCCAATAAGCTATGATAGGCTCATTGAGGAATTATTACTCATGAGGGAAGACACTTAAAGTTTTATCTTAAAACTCTTGAGTGCAATAAATTAATGCATGCCAATCATTAGGACAATAGATACTACTGCTTCAACATTAAATGATGCTTTTGTAAGAATGTTATCTGTACTAGGCTTTGTGGCGTTTCAAGTTACTATTATATACATTTGAAGAGATTTAAGCATATTATTTTCTATTCTAATGATTTTCTTATTTCAAAAGCCATCAAATTTTATTTTACAGTGGTAGAAAGAATAAATTGGAAGAGTCTTTTGTGCCCTCATAAGTAGAGTTTCAATTGCAGACCTAAGTAATGAAACAATATTTCTAAAAAAATTGACTCAGATAATGAGAACTCATGACTCAATTTTTTTCTAAATGCTATATAGAGAGCCTTACATTTATTTTTTAAAGTTTTTAATAAAGTTAATGAGTGGCTAGATTCAAGCAAAGGGTGACAGTTTTAATCAAAACAGTACAAAAATTGCCATCAATGCGATAATTAACGTAAAAAGTGACATATAAAATATGGGTTTTAAAAGTAGTAATTATAGGGAAAGCATTACAAAATGAAGCCTAAAATCGAGGGTTTTTAAAAAAAGTACAGTACTTAAATATGGAAGACTACTACTCTTAAACAGAATGCCTCCACATAAATGGACTTTTGAGCAAGTGTAACCAATATATACAGAGGTCAAATCAAGACCATATATAGTATAGCTACTTTTAGCCAAAGATTAATAAGCACAGAGGTACAGCATATCTCAATCAGCAAAGCAAAACAGACTGCTATGACACACTCCATTTTTCAAGCTGTAGAAACTTTAGCATGATGAGTGTAGGAAGACATAAATTCTTGTGGTAAATGATTTAGGTTTTACAGATCAAAGGGTAGTCTGAATAGAAACCAAAGGTAAATTGGTGCCAATAGAGAATATTAGATGCCAATAATGTTCAGTTAAATTCTATTTACCTTTATCAACCAATTAGTATTAGCACTGGACATTAATTTTTATCAAAAATGGGTCATACATGGAGAAAAAAAATACTCTTTCATCATAACTCAATTACAGAGAGAAATCAGGTAAATAAATTGGATAAATTTTCTCATTTTAGATTCTCACTGAGCAAAAAATACGAATAAATAATACATTTATTAAATCTGTAGCTGTAGCTTCTATAGATTTGAATTACAAAGATAATATTTTAAATTATATAGTACATAATCAAGCAGTCTCCAATCACCTCTTCAAAAGTGAATGTAACTTACAAAAAAGCCTTAGGTAGTGATGATCCCAAGAGAGAACCAGAATAAGGAGATCTCAATTCTAATCCTAATTGTCATTTACTGGTTCTGAGATCTACACACCTTAGCTAAATGCTAAATATTCAAACGTTTTAAAGGAAAATAAGAATGAAAAAAGATGACTCTTGATTTCAGGAACAAAGGAGAACAGAATAAAAATGATGCTGTAATGGAAAACCACCTAGGAAACCATACTATAATGGACAACCTTTGGAAAGGCTGGTTCTTTGGGGGGAGTAAAGGATTTTAAATTATGCATAGTTTAAGGTTGCTGATAGAACAAGCAATAAAACGGGATAAAGCATTGAAAATGTAGACTTGAGGACAAATTGAGACCATGTAAATAAGAACGTTCTCTCTAAGAGTGAATATATAATAATAAATGGAGGACTGAACCTTGGGGGAATAGTTTATATAAGTGCTTTCCTATAGGGTAACCACATGTGTGGCTATTAAGCCCTTGAAATGTGTTGGTGAAACTGAGGAACGTTTAAAATTTAAATTTATCCATACGATGGAGTATTATTCAATGGTAAAAAGAAATAAGCTATGAAAAGACACAAAGGAATCTAAACACATATTGCTAAGTGAAAGAAGCTGGTCTGAAAGGGCTACATGCTGTATAATTCCAGCCACATGACGTTCTGGAAAAGGCAAAAACTATGGAGAATGTAAAATGATCAGTGGTAGCTAGGGGTTTAGAGGGAAGGGGGAGGGCATAAGTGGAACACAGGATATTTTCAGGGCAGTGAAACCATTCTGCATGATTCCATAATAGTGGATCTGTAACACACACATTTGACAAAAACCACAGAACTATACAACACAGAGTGAACCCTAATGTAAACTATGGACTTCAGTTTATTTATAAACTTAAAAGAGAAACTTTAGACATTAAATTCAACAGTTTAATTAAACAAGATAGATTTGCAAATTGCAAAGCTCCCACCCCCACACCTCCACCTGAATAGGTTCAAAGCAACTCTGGCACTGCTGCATGGTCAGAGAGGATGTATGGACAGAAAAAGGAAAGTGATGGGCAGAAAACAGAAGTGAGGTACAGAAACAGTAGGGATGGTTATCTGAACACAGTTTGAATAGTTGGCTGCAACCTATTCTTAGACCAAGAATAGGTATAAGCATAAGTTATAGACTGTTTATACATAGTAAACTATAACCTAACTAGATGTTACTATAAGAATAGGTTATAGTCTGTTTATAAATCTAGTTAGGTTATAGTTGACTATGTACAGAGAAACATTTAGGCCGAACTTAAAATATGTGAGGAGGCAGCTTTAGGCTAAACTTAACAACACTGGTTCATCAGTTATAAAAAATATACCATACTAATGCAAGATGTTAACAAAGGAAACTGTTGGGGAGAGTGTAGATGGGAACTCTGTACTTTTGTGCAATTTTTCTACAAATCCAAAACTGCTCTAAAAAAAGTAAAGTCTATTTAAACACTTAAATTTAAATAGCCACATGTAGTTAGTGGCCGGTATTGAACTGTACAGGCCCATATAAACAAGAGATTGATGTGGGAAGAAAGTAAGAATGGTAGTATTAAGAATTACTTCATTTCTGACCACCATTCCCAAAAGTGTACACACAAGTAATCCTAAACTATTCAAAGTTTTACATGTGGCTTGTATAGTAACATTTTACAGCAGAACTTTTTCAAATAGTCTAGAAATTATTTTTGTTACAATTTAAGGACAAAAATAACATTTATTAAAGATGTCAGGTACTACATTAAATATACATATCATTTAAATTTCCAAACTTTTAGAGAAAGGCGTTACCATTTGTTTTTAGAGATGAGGAATTATAAAGTTTAAGTCTTAAAAGAAAGAACCTAGATATATCTGATTCCAAAGTCCATGTTCTAGTATAGTCTGCTCTCCTGTATATATTTTTATGATTCTCAAAATTACAAACATAACTGAACTTTCCCACAATGAATTTTTCATCAGGAACAATAGGTTATATATATCACAATAATATAGTTAATGATATATACAGTCAGAGTCTAATGAGGTGTTGTACAGGTAACTGTAATTGTTACCCCTATTTTAAATGATCCCAGACTAATGTGGTTTTTTCTGCTATCCCCCTTGCTGTCCACCCTACCTATATGACTCTACTTCCATCGTTTTTCCCTTTTCTTTTAACTAATCTCATGACAGATTATTTCTGTATCGAATTTGCACCTCCTTATCTGCTGTAGGATAGAAAATAGGTAATCAAACTTCTTAGAATTATGTACAAAGCAAGAGAGTTTCTAAACCAATGCCTTAATGAAGATTATTTAATTCATTAATTTTGTGACTTTTTCTTCTTCTTTTAAGAGACAGGGTTTTCACTCTTCACCCAAGGCTGTGCTCAAGCAATCCCTCCTATCCCAGCCTTCAGAGAAGCTGGGACTACAGGCAGAAGCCACTGTGCCCAGCTAGTTTTTTTTTTTTTCATTTTTTTTTTAGGCCTCTTTGCGCCTACTTCTTAATCTAAAGTGGGAAAGGCATAGATGAAATATTATTCTATAATAAAGCTAAGAATTTAATGATTTTGTTTCATTTACAAATTTTCCACCGAACCACAGTTCCATGTTATCTCCAAACATCACCTCATCTAAAGATGCTATTTTTATTACTTAAATGTATTAATTTAGTATATTAACCTTCCACTAAATGTTACTATCAAAAATTAATGAGGCATATATAAAAACACAGAGATATCCGATTTCTTTAAGTACTAAGTTTGACATTTCACTTTGACACTTCTTGTTTTATTTTTAAAGTGAAGGTGCATCCTCATTCTTTCAAACTCACAGTCTGGCCTGTGATTATCTTTCAAAATTTTTTTTAGAGAAATTTTTGTGAAACCATGGATAAGTAAAGAATTCATGTTATTTTCAAATATGAGTTCCACTGTGGAACCAAAGCTGTACAGACAGCTCAAAATATCAATGAAGTGTTTGGGAAGGATGTGTCCAATGAACACACAGTACATCAGTGGTTTGAGAAGTTCCACTCTGGGGATTTTAATCTCGGAAAAGAGCTACGTGGGTGACCTGAGAGCCAGGTGGATAATGATGAGCTGAAAGCTGTAGTGGAAGTGAATCCACCTTGATCTATGTGTGAATTAGCAGTGAGGTCTGAGGTTATTATTCCAACAACACTGGACCATTTGAAATCAGCAAATCGGCAAGGTAAAGAAGCTAGATAGATGGGTCCTGCATGAATTAAATAAGCATCAGAAGAGAAATACTTTTGAAGGTCCAAGGTACCTTTCTTTGCTGTCACAACATAAAGGCAAATGATTTCTACACCATATCGTTATGTGTGATGAAAAATGGATTGACAATCGCAAGCATACGGCACAATGGTTGGATAAAGATGAAATGTTGAAACACAGTCCAAAATCAAGTATTCATTAAAAAAAAGCTATTCGTGTCTGTTTGGTGGTCCAGCGCTGGTATTATCCACTACAGCTTCATGAAACGTGGTCAATAAATTACAGTGGAAGTCTACTGCAAGCAATTGGACAAAATGATGAGGATGCTTGCGATTAAACAGCCTAGACTGGTCAACAGAGACAGGCCAATCCTCTTGTGAGACAATGCTTGACCACATGTCACACAAATAATGGTACTCAAACTAGAGGCTGGACTTGGAAACTCTGTCATCCACTGTATTCACCAGACCTTGCACCAGCTAATTACCACTTCTTCCAGACTTTCTTGCACTTTCTTGACCACTTTCTTGCAAAGAAAAATATTCAATCCTCAACAAGCTTTGGAAAACGCCCTTCGTGATTTCATCCCCATTTGCTCTTCAGGCTTCTTCGCTGCTGGCATAAACAAGCTAACAGTAAGATGGCAAAATTGTGTCCACAGTTTAGGTGCATACTTTAATTGTACTGCTTCTTATTCACAATAAACTTTTGATTCAAAGTCGGACATTTCATATTTAATGACTTAATAGTTACAAAAAGTTGATATTTTCCTGGGAAAAGTCATTATTTAAGAAAAGCAGAAATTTTATTGCACTGAATTCTAAATATTCTTATGTAGTTCTTTCTCCTAACACTTTTTAAGTTGTTCTTATAACCAAATTATAGTTATGTGTATTAATTAAATATTATCCCTAAAAAGGGGAGATTAGTATCAAAATTTATATTATTCTTCCCCACTTAGATCTCCTGTAACCACATTACAAATCTTTACTAATACCATGAAATGTCTTTCACTTCTCATCATCAATTTTAAGACTTCAATTTAAGTAGGTGAAGTACCATTTTAAATTTAAGATATGAGTGTTTCCAAAGCCCAAAATTGAAACTTCAATTCTAAATTTATAAAAATCCAATTTTATTACTCTTTAGTCCAGAATGAAAACAAAAAGCTAATTTTTTTCTCTCTCAGTCAAATAATTAAAACACCCCATAGTCCAGGCTCAGTGGCTCATGCCTATAATCCTAGTACTCTGGGAGGCTGAGGCGGGTGGATCACTCAAGGTCAGGAGTTTGAAACCAGCCTGAGGAAGAGCAAAACCCCGTCTCTACTAAAAATAGAAAGAAATTAATTGGACAACTAAAAATATATAGAAAAAATTACCCAGGCATGGTGGTCCATGCCTGTAGTCCCAGCTACTTGGGAAGCTGAGGCAGAAGGATTGCTTGAGCCCAGGGGTTTGAGGTTGCTGTGAGCTAGGTTGACGTCACAGCACTCTAGCCTGGGCAACAGAGTGAGACTCTGTCTCAAAAAAAAAAAAAAAAAATCCATAAAAGCTATAAACCAATTACCTCTATAACAGTGTCCATGTTTTTGGAGGGGATTAGATATAGGGTCAAGATCAAAGTTTCTAACAGGCTGGCGCAGTGGCTCATGCCTGTAATCCTAGCGCTCTGGGAGGCTGAGGAGGGCGGATTGCTTGAGGTCAGGAGTTCGAAACCAGCCTGAGCAAGAGTGAGACCCCCGTCTCTACTATAAACAGAAAGAAATTAATTGGCCAACTAATATATATAGAAAAAATTAGCCAGGCAAGGTGGCGCATGCCTGTAGTCCCAGCTACTTGAGAGGCTGAGGCAGAAGGACTGCTTGACCCCAGGAGTTTGAGGTTGCTATGAGCTAGACTGACGCCATGGCGCTTACTCTAGCCTGGGCAACAAAGTGAGACTCTGTCTCAAAAAAAAAAAAGGTTTCTAACATTTATTCATTAAGAGATTAAAGGCAGAATGTTAGGTAAATCATAACTCTAAATATTCTCAAAGATTAGCTGAATAGTCATAAAGTTAGATTTATAAAGACTAAAGAGTTTAAATCTAATTTTAAAAAATCATTTCCCAATATAACCTCAAGTAAGTTCTTTGTTAATATTCTAGGTTTCTTCTCTATATTAAGAAAAACTAAAAGGCAAATAATTCTAGATAAAAGACCAAATAAGTATTAGTTGCTCACATTTGTATATAACATTAAAATTTAGTTAGTTCTCAGAACCCAAGAAATAGAAATAGAGTCTTAGAGTTTGAGTAAAACTCCTTTGGAGTCATCGACACTAAACTGTAAACTGCTGTGACTCTCAACTTTTCTTCCATAAAGAGTCCCTGGCAACATGCCTACTGTACTTAGAGAAGCATGCAAAGAATGAGGTGGTTTTGATTCCTAACAATCACATCCCAGAGTTTTTTTGGCAATTTCAATACTCTTCCTCAATCTTGACTAAAAATATTACAGTTTCATTTAAATCCACAAAGACAGAAAACAGAATGGTGGGTGCCAGGGATTAGGTGAGGGGAGAATGAGAAGTAACTACTTCCTGAGTAGTGTTTCCTTTTGTGGTGATGAAAATGTTTTGGAATTAGACTGAGGTGGTGGTTGTACAACATTCTGAATGTACTAAATGCCACTACACTGTGGTTAATTTTGTTATATGAATCTCACCTCCATTAAAAAAAAATTTGTATTAGTATATAGATAAAACCAACCCCTTTAAAACTCCTCTTTTCCTTGAAAAACACTGCTACCATCTTCAAATGCTACTTACATCTTGGAGTTTTTTTTAGATAAAATGCAATTATAAAATATGATCATATATACACAGTAATAATGGAGGGGTATACTGACGTCAGTTTAAAACATTGCTAAAAAGCTTGATAAATGTCTAAAGAATACTGTTCTGACATACATTTGTAAATAATCTCACAGAAAAATATAAAAGATCCTTAAAACATTTTTATTCCTCTATGACAGAAAGTAATTTCAGTCAGCTCAAAACTGCAAATATAAGGTGATTTCAAATTTGGGGAAAATTCTTTCCCCAAATCTCAATCAGTTATACATTATGAACTCATAAGAAGTATCTAACCTAGTATTATAAAAAAAAAAGTAGAAAAGATTATGTAAGAAGTAAACAGGCACAGTCTGACTAACAATGGTTAGAAACAAATATACTAAAGTTAACTGCCGTAGGGATGTAGGGCAATATTACTCGAGATTGATAAAATTTCACACTCGAAAATATGAGATATATCAAGAAATGTTGAAGCAGGAAGAATTCCTTTATATAAATGCCTGACAAAATTAAACTTACATCATAACCTCCAAATCCAGCCTAGATTTCAGGATTAAACAAAAGAAAAGGAGATATTTTGAAACCCATGACTGCTCTGGTATAGGCCAATCTGAGAATTTAAGTCCCTCTGAATCCAATCCTGAAGAATACATGAACCCCTCAGCATACACAGGGCCAAAGCTAAACCAGGTCAGAATATGCTGCCAAGGAACATCCTGATCCGAGGTGTTCACCAAACAGAGATCATTTATCAGTTTATTCTTTACTTTCTTGGATGCCAAACACTTTCAAGATATATATAAGAGTAGAATGATTAGACCCCATCAAACTCAAACTCCCATTTCATGTCCTAAGATCTGGAGATGAAAAATATTGCAGAATTCTAAATTATCTATGGCTTAAAGAAAAAAATATTACAAATGAAGAATTTCACATATTAGCTGACCCAACTTTAACATCACTGAATGTTATTAAAGTTATTTTTAATTTTCACAAAGTATTCCAAAGGCATAATTTAGTAATTGCATATATAACTAACGGCATGAAACAATTATAGCAATATCACAAATCTGTCCTATGTAAATGGTATGAGTTTTTATATTTTATAGCATTCAGATCTACTAAGAACAAAAATAAGTGTTTCTTTGGTGATTCATATTAATAAATACTTTCTTGGTCTTATATGTAAATATTTGGCAGGACACAAACAATTTTAATAATAATAATAATAGTATTACAAAACATAGTTCTCAGTCAAAAAAAGGAATCTGTCAACATAGAAGATGCTTTGAAGTTTAGCCATGACACGTATGTAGCAGTAGTAAAGCATCTAATTTGTGTCACAAGACCTGGGTTTGGTAAGCTCTTTTACCTATTAATTATGTGACCTTTTTACTAGTTACTTAGCTTCTCCTAGCCTTGGATTCTTCATATGTAAAATGAGGACAGCACTTCCAATATTACAGCATAACTAGAATAATTAAATGAAATAAAGTTTTTATTCATTCAACAAATATGCTCTGAAGAACTGTAGTTTTTTTATTATTATGTACAAAATTCCTCTTTCCAATATCTTCAAATGAAGAGATTATACTATTTAGGATTTTTATCCTAAAATATTTATCCTAAAAAGATTTTTTAAATTTTATTTCTAAAAAGTTAAACATATATTAACTTTTAATATTACCAAAAATATAACAAACCTAATTCTGATTCTTAAGCTATGGTTCCAAAACTTAGAAGAAAAATTTTAAACATTATTTGAGAAAATCTGAACTAAAATTATCAGAATAAGCAGATAGTGAAGATATGACGACAATTGGGATCACATTTTAAAAGTTTTGACACAAAATAAATAAAAACAATTTTCTAAGAGATTTCTAAATATTAAACAGAAATAGGGACCCAGACTTACCTCATAAATTACTGGGTCAATATCCAATTTCAAATACAAAACCTTACCATTTAAAAATCTTTGTTCTCAGGAAAGTGATGTTAAATATGAAGGAAATTAGTCTGATGTGAGTTTTTTTTTCACAACAAAACACACTAACCACTTAAAATTTATAACTTATAAATTACTACAATTATTCTAATGAGTTTAGAGAAACAGATAAATTTAAGTATCATTAAATATAGACTTTACTTGGACTCTGTACTGACCAAAATTCAGCATGGGAAGACAAAATCACAGATTTGGGCACTTTGAAAAAAAAAGGTGTCCTTTCTGAAACACTTATTTCTAAATTTGCAACAGGAGGAGCCATGTGAAAGTTGTTCTTTCTGTACCATTCAAAAGATCAAAACATCCACAACATTACTGATGCCAGGCATAAAATGAAAGTCATTATTATATTCAACCACGACACTTCAAATCCTAAACAAGACAGTTCAACCTCCATGTTTATTTCATTGTTAGTCTATTTGCCATCAACTCTTGTGGAAAAACTAGAAATTAGACTAGTGATGCTCATTAAACTTCATACAACCTGAAAATACTTTTAATTACAATAGACTTGGACCAATTCTAATTAGAAATTTATCCTAAAAATGAGTGAAAGATATTAACTGGCACCAATCTTCTCTGCACAGGTCAATCTTCCTTAAGAACGCAAACTAAAGCCCTCAGATGGGCCTTGCAAATGAATATCAAACAGTGAAAAGCAATCTCCTTGGATGTACCCAAGCAATTTTAATATACATTTCTGTATACCTAGGTAGAAACTGGAATATAAATAACTTGAATCTTTTCTTTTTCCCTCACTTGTAAAATGAATGTGGTGGATGCCTTGAAAAATTAAGTTTAGGAGAAACAGTAGTTAACTTTAAGTTTCAGACACCACTAGCCTATATATAAGAAAATCGAAGAGCAGTCTCTCAAAAAGCCTAAACGTTCAAAACAGAACTACGGTTGTTCCTAGTTTTTCGAAAATTATTTCCAAATGTTTCGAAATCTTATGAAATATGCTTCAGAAATCAAATTTCAAACTCAGAGGAAAAGGATGATCTTGAATAATTACAGGACAAGTTACTGAAAGGCAAAATTAGAACACAAGACAGGACACAGTAAGTTCTACAGCTGGAGATGAACCATCTGCCTCCTGAAGAAGTGCTTCACTGGGTCCACTTAATGTTGCTTCTTATGCTGCACATTAATAATTCAAAACGGCTCGTTTTAAGAAAAGTTCTATTCAAATATTACAGTTTGTCTCCGTGTTGCCAGTAAGTGCCTTTGTTTCCAGTTTCATGGACTATTCTGGGATGTCAAGAGTTATATTATTACTGCTCCAGAAGAGCCCTTGTTTCAATCCACTATCGCCCGGGCATAACTGATGATGAGAGAGAAGTGACGCTTAGACATGTTTAGAGAGGAACATCCCTTACCATTCTAACCCTCATCAATAAACACTTTCTGTGTATTTGTTGTTGTTGCACTTAAGTTTTCTCACAAAGACACCTGCACACACAATTCTCCCATCGCCAGCAGGGAGAAAGACGACGATCAGGCCCGACCGCCGGGAGCTCCAGGGAAACAGACGCCGCGAAGCCCCGTTGGCCGCGGAGGGAGCGCGGAGGGGCTGGGGGAGGGCGCGGCCTGAGGCGCCGGAGGCAGAGCCGCGCCTGTTTACAGACGCCGCCGCCCTCCGCCAGCCCGCAGACGGGGGTCCGAGAAGCATTTCCTGTGCGCACTCTCCGCCCGCCCCGGGCCCCAGGAGGAACCGAGGAGCCCGGCGGCCTTTGGCCCCCACCGTCTCGCCCAAGCCGTCCTCGCCCTCCCCGCGCCCGGGCGGCGTCCGTGCCTCCCCTCGGCCTACCTACCCCGCAGGCCCTCCCGGCGCACGCAGAGGCCTGAGGCCTAGAGGACGCCGGCCACTGACAAGCCCTAGGCCGCCGGCGGTGCCCGTGCGGGGCCTGGGGCCGCCGGACTGCCGCGGCCGCCAGGCGCAGGGCGGGCGAAGACAGCCGCCTCCCCGCCGCAGCCGCCTATTGTTCCCGGCGCGGCCCGCGGCCGCCCGCTCCCCACGCCGCCGCCCGCCGCTCGCTCACCGCGCTGGTCCGAGCAGCAGCTCCTCTCAGCTCCGAGTCCCCGCGGCCGTCGACACTGCCACGGCAGCCGCCGCTGCCGCCGCTGCCACCGTCGACTCTGACTCTGTCCCAGGCCGCCGGGCCACGGCTGCCGCCGCCACCGCCAGCGCCGCCTCCGGCTTCCCACCTGCTGCTGCTGAGGCTGCTCCTGCAGCAGGGGCCATCTTGTTGGTCTGCCTCCTCTTCCTCCTCCTCGCCCTCCGCCGCCCAGTTGCTCGTTGTCCTCGTCCCCTTCCTCTTCCTCGGGCTCCGGCCCGCCCCGGAGACTGGGGCGGAGACGCGGGCGAGGCTCCTCCTCGGGAGGCGGGGCAGGGGAAGGGCGGGGCGGGCGCGGGAGGAGGGCTCTGAGTCACCGCCACCAACGCCCGGGACGGAGGCCGGCGACGCTCTCCGCCTGGACCCGGAGCGCAGACACGCCCCGAGCCGAGGAACTGGTCCGGCCGTCCTGCCCTCCCCACCAGCGCCTTCGGGCCCGGCGGACGAGTGGCCACACGGCAGGGGTGAATTGGAAAATGTCTGTTGTTTCAATCAAATCCCACGCCACCCTTTTGGCTTTCCAGCCTTTTGGCTTTCTCAGCTCTTGTCCCTCACCTCTTGTGTCTTTTTGACATCTTTCCCCCGCACCCCATTTTTTATTCTTCCATATTATCCAGGTTCTCGACCACACCAGCTTTGTCCTTGTCACCCCTCTCGCACAGTCCCGAAAGAGTTCAGCCTCCCAAGACGGTGAAACAGCCCAAGAGCCGGGACACTCCCTGCTCCAAAACGTCTCCCCAGGCCTGTGTGAACAGTAAGCTATCTGGGAAGGACAGCAAATGATCGGCCCATAGAAGAGCTGCTGGATCTAAAATCTAATCTTGTAGCTCTTTAAAGTTTCTTGTCCCTTGTGGAAAAGGTGCTGTTTTGGTTTTGGGGAATGAGAGACCCCTTCAAGACAACTCAGTGTAGCTAAACTCTTGCTTTCGAGAAGGGGGAGAAATGGAATTCTTTTAATACCATTCAGTGCTAATTTCAAAATAAATTGTCTAGAATACAGGAGAGTCTCCAAATTAACAACCATTTAATCCTCCCCACTCTGCACTGTCTCCTTTTTTTGTTTCAAATCTTGGCCAAGAGAGCAGAGATTTTGTTTTTCTGTCCTTTCTTCACTGTATACATCACCAATACCAAGAAAAATATTTCTGCCTTTACCTTGTTAGATTGGAATCACTGTAACCGTGTTTTTATATTGTGTGCAAAACATAATCACACACCTTCCTAAACTCAGCAGAACAGTGCTTTTTAATTGTTAACACCTTCCTGCTACTGAGATTTCAGCTTCTTTTTAGAAGACCCATTGATGTCTTTCTGCTGATTGGAATTTGCTTTCTTTGAAGTGACCTAAATCTGTAACCTTTTCTTTAACCTACTAAATTGTAACCCCAGTCCTACAAGGAGTAAATTTCTATGGGGTTGGGTTGGGGAGGCATTAGGTTAGCATATACTAACCTAAAAGCTATCTCTTGGATAGCCTTTCCTTACTCAAACCAGATCTCTGTCCCCTGCTAAGAAAAACAGATTAATCTGTTCCTACTGCTTTTCCTCCTCCTCCCTTCTTCTCACTCCTAGGGAACCTTCCACAACAGAAGGTTTTAGCGGCTGTTGCTAGGCAAACATGCCAACTTCCCTGTTTAGGTGAAGCAAGTAACTCAACCTCCATTACAAACAATTCAGATAATGTAATTTCTTTGAAATATTAATAGTTGGACCTCAGTAAAGCCCTGTAAAGGTTCCCTTAAAAATATAATAATATTTAAATTAAATTTATTTTTATTTCATCAATATTTCAATTAAAAAGAAGTTAAAAATGGAGAGGCTTCCCAAAATTCATTTTAGTGATATAATTAAACAGAAACATTTGACAGAAAACAAGAACCACTTTGAAGAAAACACTTTAAGTGTTCACAATATAAACTAATCTGTGAGAAGTCATTTATGTTTTGAACTCCCTAGTTAGACTACAAGTATGAGATACAGAGGATTAAATTGTCCCTTGAAACTGAGTCTATTTAGGAGAGAGAATATGGTTTTTCAGTAACGGAGGAAAAAAAGATATTGTGGGTTTTATTTTCAGATTAACAATTATTTTAAAATTTTAGCTAGGGAATTAAGCTTTTCCCTGATTTTACTGTATAAACTTTTTTTTTTTTTTTTTGAGACAGAGTCTCACTGTGTTGCCCAGGTTAGAGTGCTGTGGTGTTAGGCTAGCTCACAGCATCCTCAAACTCCTGGGCTCAAGCAATCCTCCTGCCTCAGCCTCCCGAGTAGCTGGGACTACAGGCATGCATCACCATGCCCGGCTAATTTATATATACATATGTATATTTTTAGTTGTCCGGCTAATTTCTTTCTATTTTTTTAGTAAAGTCGGGGTTTCGTTCTTGCTCAGGCTGGTCTGGAACTCCTGAGCTCAAACGATCCTGCCTGCCTTGGCTTCCCAGAGTGCTAGGATTACAGGCAGGAGCCACCATGCCTGGCCTGTTTAAATTTTTTTTACTGCTGTTAGGGAGTAGAGATTTGTTGTGAATTAATACAAGAATAAATGGAGGCCGGGCGCAGTGGCTCACGCCTGTAATCCTAGCACTCTGGGGAGGCTGAGACGGGCAGATCACTCAAGGTCAGGAGTTTGAAACCAGTCTGAGCAAGAGCAAGACTCCATCTCTACTAAAAACAGAAAGAAATTAATCAACCAACTAAAAATATGTAGAAAAAATTAGCCGGGCATGGTGGCTCATGCCTGTAGTCCCAGCTACTCAGGAGGCTGAGGCAGAAGGATTGCTCCAGCCCAGGAGTTGGAGGTTGCTGTGAGCGAGGCTGACACCACGGCACTCTAGCCCAGGCAACAGAGTGAGATTCTGTCTTAAAAAAAATGGGACATTATTTTGAAATTTAAATTATATATATTTAAACTTTAAGACTTTTAAAATTGCATAATTTGTTTTAATCCAGTGGCATTTATATTAATATGATGAGATGAATAATATTTGAGATATGCCTTGAGCTAAAATAATTTGTTAATTAATTAAGACTGTAAGACAAAAAGCTTAAGTGTTTCATAGTCATTTGTGCTTAGAAATCACTATTTTGTAGCTTCAGGACAATTTAAACAATTTAGTTTTATTTCATATTTTATTTAATTCTGATGTGGAATGCCCAGAAATTTAGAGCGTACCTCCGCTATTGATATACTATGACGATTAAATGAGTCATTTCATACAAAGCACTTAGTGCATGGCACATAAGTATTCAATAAATGTTTTTTTCAAATTTATTTTATGTATATGTTATTGAAACAGATAAGGATAACAAATCATCAAATATATTTTTGCTGTTTGCATGAACCCTAAAGAAAGATTAATGCTACTTTTTAGATCATACACAAATTGCTTAAAATGCCTTATGAATTTTCTCAACATATTTTCTAATACGCCTATACTATATTGTTCTTCCTTTGCTTTTTTTTTAGAATAGCTTATGCTTTTTAGGTATGATTTTTTAAGCTACTAAATGCTTTAAAATTGTTCTAGAATGCATAACTCTCAACCTGAAACATTGTCGTATTAAAGCTAGAAAAGACCCTAGATGCCCATTTATTTCAATGGTTGAAGCTGAAACTAAGAAAGGTTGGGTAGATTGCTTGTCTATCCAACTCCTTTTTTATACATAAACACCATGTAACTGAAGAGGGGGTTAGAGAGCAGAGAGGGCTGGGAAAGGAGGAGAAAAGATGAATGAGGCATGTGTCCTTGTCTTAGAGAAATTTAATAATCTATTAGGAGCATTACAATAAGATATGCATGTAAACAACTAGAGTATAAAGTAGCTTGGTGATTAATGCATAAAAAGCATAAAGTTTTATGAGAGTTAGAAATCTTTATTCTAATGTCATGGAACCTACCTTTTGACAGGTGGCAATTCTATGGCATTAGATGTATTCCCAGGGGCATAGAAATACTATCAGCACTTAATTTGGGGCACAAGGGGGATGAAGAAGGCTAAAGGATGAGAAATTGAAGGGTATGAGAGTGGAGTTTGGAGTAACTAAAAAACCTGGTTAAAGTACAGCTGGGACCTGAGATTTCTCCAATGTAAATAATTTATGTAGGGAGACGGGATGATATCCTCAAATACACACATTCACAAAATAGGGAGTACTGGAGCTGAGTCACTTGGATTCTCTGAACTGCTTTAGGTAAAGTAAGGGTAGGAAGTAATTGAGTCCTCTCCATCCTCACCACCCATCCCTACCTCTATGCATGGATTGTCCATGACCTCCTACTTCCTCCCCAATCTACAACAATAAGGTTCATTAAAATAAAACTCTAAATAAATAAGAAGCAGAGGAAGATGTCCCAAGTAATATGGTATGGAAGTATGAGGAAACCAGTAGTGTCTGACCTACTCTTCACCTTAGAGTCCAGTCCTAAATCAGGTCCAAAGCATCATCTACAAACTAGGCCTAAGGGTTGCCTTAGGTTCAGGGTAACAATCACATGGCAGCCATAGCCCAATTCAGTTCTGGAATTTCCAGAACTAGGTTCTTGCAGAGTTGATTCCAAAAGAGCTAAATAAAATGACGTTTCTGAGCCCTACAAGAAATTGCTTCTAAATTGGCCTGCCTTCCATGAAGGCCTCCAGCCCAACATTGAGTATGTCTGAACTTCAAGTGACCTGTGAGACTTATCCCAGGGTAATAATAAATAGAACACTTTTACAAAAGAGACATTAGACAACTTTCAGCAAAGAGGCCCATTTTAGGCACTGCTCTAAAGAGTGTTGGTTTAAGAGAAGGTTGCTCCATTGGCCAAACTCTACTGGAATGTTGTTTTCCACAATTGTATTATTTTGCTAGGCCTGTCACACCAAATACCACAGACTGGGTAGTTTGAACAGAAATTCATTTTCTCAGAATTCTGGAGGCTAGAAGTCCAAGATCAAGGTATAGGCAGATTTGGTTTTTTTCAGAGGCCTCTCTCCTTGGCTTATGGATGGCTTCCTCCTCCTCACCCACATGGTCATCCCTCTGTCTGTGTTGTCACTGTCCTAACCTACTTATGAAGACTGCAGTGGGACTGGATTAGGGCCCACCCATGTGACCTCATTTTGCCTTAACTGTCTCTAAAGGCCTTAACTCCAAATATTCTCTTTCTGAAGTTCTGTGGTTAGGACTTCAACATATGAATTTGTTTGGTGGGTGAGGGGGAGGGAACAATTCAGATCATAACAATTTTAAATGCCCACTTTAAGGATATCATACTTATGAATAAAAGGCACTCTTGTGAAGATATTATTTAAAGTCTACCCAGTTAAACCTGAAGCTTTTCTTTTTCTAATTATTCCTGGCATTATAAAATATCAGTGCTTTACTTGATAAAAATTAGCAACAACAAATAGGATGCTAGAAAAATTGATTATGAAAGTTATATATCACACCACAATAAGAGTTATCAGAAGACAGTTACCAGAACTTGAATAGACTCAAGATTGATATGAAATGATGAATCTTTCATCAAAAGCATAAAACTTGCAGGGGGAGGGTATAAAAGTGTAGAGTTTGTAAGTTAAGTTGTTATTGGTTTAAATAGATAGGTATAAGATGTTTTATGTAACCTCAGGGTAACCACAAAGCAAAAGCCTATGATAGATATACAAAAGATAAAAAAAAAAAAATTCAAATCATACCACCATAAAAAATCATCAAACCACAAAGAAAGAAAGCAAGAGAGAAAGAAAAGAACAAAGGATCTACCAAACAACCAGAAAACAATTTTTAAAATGGGACTTGTAAATCCTTACCTATCAATACTTACTTTGAGCTCAGGTCTGTAATCCTAGCACTCTGGGAGGCCAAGGTGGGGGGAAGCTCGATACCAGCCTGAGAAAGAGCAAGACCCCATCTCTACCAAAAATAGAAAAGATTAGGCAGGCATAGTGGCACATGCCTGTAGTCCCAGCTACTTGGGAGGCTGAGGCAGAAGGATGGCTTGAGCCCAGGAGTTTGAGGTTGCTGTGAGCTAGGCTGATGCCACAGCACTCTAACTGGGGCAATAGAGTGAGACTCTGTCTCAAAAAAAGAAAAAAAATTACTTTGAATGTAAATGGATTAAATTATCTATCAAAAGGCATAGAATGGCTGAATGGATTAAAAAAACAAGACTCAGCCAGGTGGCAGTGGCTCACGCCTGTAATCCTAGCACTCTGGCAGGCTGAAGTGGGAGGATCGCTTGAGCTCAGGAGTTCAAGACCAGCCTAAGCAAGAGTGAGATGCCGTCTCTACTAGAAATAGAAAAAATTAGCCAGGCGTGGTAGCAAGCGCCTATAGTCCCAGCTTCTTGGGAGGCTGAGGCAGGTGGATTACATGAGCCCAGGAGTTTGAGGTTGCAGTGAGCTGGGCTGATGCCATGGCACTCTAGCCCAGGCTACAGAACAAGACTCTGTCTCAAAAACAAAAAAACCAAAAAAAAAAAACAAAAACAAAAACCAGATCCTACTATATTTGCTGCCTACAAGAGTCTCACTTCACTTTAAAGGACACTCAGTTCACCTTAAAGGATACTCAGACTGAAAGTGAAGGGAAGAATGACTCTTTGCTTAGTTTATATAGCTATATATTGACATCTCATTTGGAGGTCTATCTGTCTAAATATGCAATTCTAAATATATTGTGCCAAATGATATCTTCTAGCACTAATATATATTCAGTGTCTACTGGACAGTATAATGTTTATCATATCATGAGTAGCAGTTAAAAAGGTTGGACATTCATGTATAAATCATTCAGTAAACCAGAATTCAAGAGGTGTAATATAAGCAATATAAATAGGAAACCTCCTTTTGCTCCATGCCTTTCTAGGATCTAGTCTTGGGGGGAGTCTTTAGCATTCTTTATGATTTTCCAAGAGGTTAGGGATAAAAGATGATCTCTGTCACATGAGTCAGGTCATGAACCAGGTAGGAAGATGTCCCTCTGGTAGACTCCTCATTGAAGATGAATGTTCAGTTTCATGTCACTCCAGTTTATTCCCCTTTATTATCCTCTAAGTTTGAATAAAGTCTTCTTTGAATGCTCTAATCTTTTCTCAGCTGTGCTACCTTGTATTAATGGGAGAGTCCTGCAACCATGTTTGG